AAGGAAGGAAGGAAGGAAGGAAGGAAGGAAGAAAGAAATGGTGAAGACCTTTAAGAAGCAGCAAGAAAGGAGCACTTGAGAGATGGAATGCCACTTCACTGAGCTCTGGGGACCTTGTAGGGGACTCAGATATCTTGCTGGTGCTGGAAAAAGATGAAATAGCCTAAAGGAAAGGATTGTGTAAACATCTCATGCTTTATTGTCTTGATGTCATTTAAGTTTATGTACTTGAAGAATATTGGCATACACAGAACATGCTAACTGTACACATTATTAAGTGAATAAAGCAACTTACTGTACAGTGTGCCCTGTGGGAGCTTAACTGTTCTGCTCAGTCTCGCTCTCTCCTTGCCAACCTTGGCTGGGGAAGCAGCACTCTGGGATTCTATCCATGGTTCTTACCAACTTTTGGGTTAACCCTGGGTCATCATTCCTAACAGGAATTCTCATTCATGGCTGTTACCTTCCTATGGTACTTTGTCCACTCAAGGTCAGTTAGAAAGAGTCTGACGCACTAGTCCACTCTTAGGAGTTGACCATCTTAACCAGTAGAACTGTGTGGATCACACTAGATCAAATAGTAACTCCATGTGACTGATCTAAGCTAAGACCTGCCATAAATGTAAAATTCATGCTCAATTTGAAAGATCAAGTGCAAAAATAACGCACAGTATCATAGTGAAGTGTTTTATATTGATAACTACATGAAATGGTAATATTTTAGATATACTGGGCTGAATGAAATGCATGAAAATTAATTTCACCTGCTTTTAGTCATTTCAGTGTGGCTGTTGGAAATCTTAAAATGACCTATGTGGTTCCTGTTGGGTTTCTTTTTTTTTTAAGGTTTTTGTCATGGGGCACATTTGTTCACTAGAGAGAGAGAGAGAGAGAAGGAAAAGAAAAGTGAGAAATCACTCCCTGGGGAATAGCTACACCTCAGTCCCTTCTTCTCCATTTTCTTCTTGGGTTTTCAGGCACACACACATGCACCTGGCATAATTTTCAAGCTGCCAGTACTGGGATTCAAACCATGGTTGTTCTGTTGTGTTTCTCCTGGACAGTGCATTTCAGTGTAGAGAGAAGAGTGCATTTCAGTATGGATGTCACCTGCCTGCACCCCTGCTGAAAGGAATGCCTCAGATGAGGCATATTCCAGATTGTGATTTTTGGGAAGGGTGGCCTCCCTACATGCTTTGAATTGGGTCATATAATCAGTTGCTCAATTTGCTTATGGATAAAATTAGTCCTGCTATACAAGATTCCTATTGCTGCTATAACAAATTATCACAAACCTAGTAACTTAAAACAATCAGAAATGTATTCTCATACAGGTCCAGAAGTTAGAAGTCTGCAGTCAGATTCCCCAGACTGAAGCCAAGATGTCAGAACTTCCTAAAATTCCAAGGGAAGAATGTGATTCATCACCCTTTTTTCAGCTTCTAATGGCTGCCGATCCGATGTTCCTCGGTGCTTGGTCCCTCATCATTTTCATCTCTAATCTCTGCTCTCATCATCACATCATTTTCTCCTCTCTAATCTGCCTCCTTCCTAAAGGGTTTCCTGTGACTACATTGGGCCCATCTGGATAATCCAGGATACTCTTCCCCATGCATGGTTCTTAATTTCATCATAATTCCAAGGCTCCTTTTGTCGTGTAAAGTAATAGCCATAGGTTCTGAGAGTTGTTTGTAAATATCTTGGGGGTCAGGGTCATTAGTTATCCTACCACACTGCCTATTCCCCCTCCAATTTATAGATCATAGGTTGGAGCATAAATAGTCACTGAACAGCAATACCAAGGAGTCACAACCCTGGAAGGAAATGAAGAAATCCTCCAGTCTGCCTCATGACTTCAGCACAGTAAAGTCCTACACTTCCAGTCTTTGTGCATAGGAGGCAACACAGACCCAGAGAGGTTTAGGAACTTATATGAGTTCACCAGATAAGAAGAGCCCATGAGGGGGATAAGCCTCATTCCACCTTATGGAGCAAAGTCCCGTCCCCCTGGGTGAGGTGAAATTGTTCTGCCTTCTTTTCTTCTTTGCAAATGCAGGTAGGCTCTGTGACCTTGTCTGAAGACAGAGCTCACTCTCGTAGCCCATCTTCAGGTTGATGATCCTCCAGCTCCTTTGGAAGCAACCCAGATGTGTGGCTGTACCAAGGGACCCATCGTGACAAGACTCGGGCAAAACTGTAATCAAAGGGGCAGTGGAAAACTGATTAAAAGCAGATGGTGGGCTTGATGGAGCCTACACTGTGGTTCACAACATGCCAGGGTTGGTGATGCCGATTTTATTAATCAGGGATGGAAGGAAGGAAGGAAATAGGCTGGAGGCAGCAGGAGGCCAAATGAATCTGTGTGGTATGGGGACGCAGATTCTCTGCCCAGCAGTAGTTTTTCTTCTCTGACAGGTCTTCCTTCAGCCTAAAGACTTTCTGCCTGCTTCTGCCTCTTTGCCTTCTCTCCACGGTCTCACCACCTCATTCATCTCTGTCCTTCCTAGTCACTTATTTTTAGTCATGTCAGCAGATGATCCACCATTCTCTGGAGGAGTGAAGTCAAGGAAAAGAAAATATTTCATCCTAAGGAACAAGGAGATTTTGTTGCAGTGTGATCCCAACATCTGCTCATTGTTCTCAATTCTCATCCAGGGCCATCTTGAACAGGTGTGTCTAAGGGGAGGTCAGCAAGCAGCGCTTCCAGGGTACATAGGTCTTGTATATGGAGATTGATTTCCAGATCTCTCAGCTGGCCTGTTGGAGACTGGGTACTACTCTGAAAGTGTGGCACTGGAGGTAGTAAGAGAGTATGGGAACAGAAAGAGAACGAGGACACAGCTAGGGGTAGCAGTTAGACCTGGCTTGAAGTCCTACATTCAGCATCTACTCATTGTATTGTGTAACCTGTGCAAGTCACAGAAACTCTGACCTTGTCTCCTTATTTGTGGAATGAAGATACCGGTGGATTCCTGTCTTACATGAGAGAATCAGATGAGAAAATGAATGTGAATGTACTTTAAAACCTATAAAATCCTTCTCAAAAGTATCAAATATTACCAAGGAATGGTACAAGTCTGGGAAAGCAAAGCTGATTCAAGCATAAGATTAGGCCCAGACAACAGAAGATCTAAAATACACAGGGTTTAGTCAAGGTTTTGGCTCAGAAACCAAGTGAGCTGTTAGGAGCAAAGTGATAGAGAGTCAGATAACCAGAGGGAAAAGTATGGGCCAAAGTCTGGTAACATATCCTCCAGTAGACTAGAGTACACAAAGCCTAAGATGAGGCTTCGGAACTCATTAAGGAGAGACCCAGCAAGCTGAATGTCAACAACCACATACAAAGAATTTGGATGTTGTCTAGAGGACCACATAGCCACTGCATGGGATCAAGGAGAGTGACAGAATCTAATTTGCCTTAGAAAAATCTGGCTGGCTGGCTGGCATGCAGAGTGGAAGGAAGAAAAGAACTACTGAAGATGAAGAGATCAAAACAGCAGAGAGTTGAGAGTATGGACATAGAACTTGAGAGAAAGTATTCCCAAAGAAAAGAGAGGTCTATAAGGTTAGTCATTGCTAAAAGGATGGCTATTCTGAATATTCGGAACACAAAAAATATGCAGTGCTTGGAAAAAAAAATAGATTATTGGGGGAGAGTAATTTCCTTGATGGGGAGAAGCCAAATGCCAAGGGATGGAGGAGTAAATGGGAAGTGACAGAGTGATGACAAGAGCCCAGGCAACTCATTTACATATGTGCCAAATCAGGGACAGAACTGTAGCCCCAGAAAAAGAAGCATCAGGTCACAAGATTTGTTATAGTTTTGCTTTATTTTGTTTAAAACAGTGAACAACCCTTGAATGGATGCAATGAATCAATACAAAAGCGGAGGTTGAAGGGACAGAAAAGAACAGTCATTCAACAACTTTTGCTCAAACACCTATTATGTGCTCAGTACTGTTTTATGCACTGGGGACACAGGGAAGGATAAAGATTTGTGGACTTCGCCATCTCGTGAATGGATAATCGATGGTGCATCTTTCTCACAGAGGAAGAAAACATTGGAATTCAGAGCACAGGATGATAAAGAGGAAGAAGAAAAAGAGCACAAATACCAGTTAATTTGTAAGTCTTGTGTCAGGCAGCTGAGAGATTTACTGTCCCATGGTCTTTATTTTCATTAAGGTGTAGAAAATAAGTTCACCTGTCGAGACCCAGGTAGGAAGACAGGAAGAGGAAGTTTGGGGAAGAGTTATGAAGGAGCACAAATACCAGTTAATTTGTA